GACCAGAAATGTTTGGATAATGCTACTTTTTTTAATCTTTTATCCTTCTGTGCCACCACGCCCCACCCCTATCAGTAGTCATGCTTTAGAGACTTTGGAAATACAAGGTTAAACATGGACTTCTCAAATATATTTGGGCACAAAATGTTTTATAATGACATGTATCATGGTTTGGACATCGTTGTCGGAGCATAGATACCACTCAACAAGATCTCAGTGCTAGGCAGAGTCAAGGGAGGCCTGGCGAATTCCCTGTAGCCTCAACTCAACAATGGCAATCTGATCTCATGCAGAAAAGTTGTAACAATGCCCACTCTTTATGACATTTTTTCAGTTTTTCTGTGATACCTAAGATTGTTTTGCTTTTGCTCAGTGGCATGTCTGGCCATGTAAGAAAACATGTGTTAATTAGCCATACACAAATTCTATTTAAGGGACCATCAGCCTGAAAATCATTCAGATCCCAAAGGACTTCTGTTTTCAGAAGGTACGAACAGACATTTTCCATGTGCGTTACAGAGGAGCCAGGGAAGTAGTAACTTGGGTTTATGAACATGTTGCATCATTGGCAAATAGCTCCTTGTATGTGGTCGGCCCATCACATGGGACGTGGTGTAACCACTAGTCACATCACATATACGATGAAACTTAAAACACAGTTCCTCTTTCACATTGGTCACATTTAAGGTGCCCAGTAGTCACTGCCATGTTGGAGAATGTACATGTGGACATTTGCAGTATCAGAGAAGTCCTCTTAAACAACGCTGGAGATGTTAACACAGCTAACACAGAAGCTATTCCTTCGTTCTGCATCCTAGAGATTTCTCCCTGCCAAGGTGCCATTTGAGATCTCCATTTTTGCCTTGTCAAACCCACTGTTTCCAAAACTGATGAGGAATGTATACCTTCTTTGACCCTCCTTATTCAAATACTTTAGAGTTAAGAGCACCCCTCCCAATTAAACAACAACAAATACATTTTTAAAAACCACCTCTTAGAGAAATGCTTCCAGTCCTCCAGCCCTTCAGAACCCTACAATCACCATGATATTCAGGAATATCAAATTCAACTAGGAAAAAATCCTTTTTCCATATCTCATCGTCCTTTTAGTATAAGGGCCTCTGATAATTTAGAATCTCAGTGGCCATTAGACATCCCACTGAATGTAATACTAAATCAGGGTACATCTCTTCTCAAGATAAGCTTCATGATCGTGACTTCAGATGTGAGCAAAGCAGAAAGAAATGATAGTGTAGAAAGGTCAATCAGTTACCTATATACCATATGTATACCAAAAAAAAGAAATAAAATCCTTTATAAAGACTGAGAATCCCTAAACAAGCTAGCTGCTCTATTGAAATGCCCCTTGTATTGTCAGAGGTTCCCACTTTTTTAAAGAGTAAATCAATGAAAGACATCTGTCTAAAACATCCTTACAATCAGTAAGTCTTAAATTCTCATGTTTTAATAATATACCTATTTGTATGTCATTCTGTATTCTCCCCATATTCTTGCTTCAAATATTTTGTTTTTTAATGTTCACTTTTGAATAACTAATTCCTATAACTGTTTCCATCTCATTATAGACATGAAAACAAATGTATGTTACCACCATTTCTACTTTCCATATCACACTAGAGGGCTGGTGATTGGTTGTGTATCCTTAAAACTATATGGAATTAAATTTGAGCAACTGATTCAAAATCACTACAAAATATATTTGTTCCTAAATTTTCTCCAAAGGCTCTTTAAACTTAACTCCCATGAAACTAAAGTCCTCGTCCTCCTAAAATATTAAAAACCAAAATTATTCCCAGAATCTACCCCCTTTGTCATCTGGTTTTTATGTCCTCAAAGAAACATCTTGCAAACCACATTGAAGAAATTCCCCAAGTGAATAGGGGGCTATTCACCAAAACAAGCTTGTCTAGCCACCCCATGTGTAGAGGGACACACCTGGAGAGCAGATGTCCCTTTCAGCTTCAAAAGAGCCACTTACTTATTCAGCACAACAGAATCCTCTGTGCTCCAAAGCCGTTCACAGATTGAAACGTCATGCTGCCCCTTTACAAAGTCAGAGGGCCCCAGCTGAGCCCCTGACCACTCTGCTCACCTGGGCCCCGCTGACCACCTCCTGCCAGTCCAGGTTAACAACTAAAGGAAAGTCATGGTGTCCAATCCTTGGAGAAACTACATTTATAATACCTATTGGTCAGAACTACTTCAAAGTAATGAAAGCCTAGATCTCCATGTCAGGAAGCAACCCAGAGTTGTAGGAATAGTGCGAAAGATAGAACAAACTTAAACACAGGAACTACAAAGGAGTTCGTGGAAAATGCATATTATGAAAAACCTATGCATTTCAAAATTTTTCTGACCAAGTCTTCCTTTTAATTCTGTCTTACCACAAGCTTTTTGAAATGCCCTTGTGTTCAGTCTATAAAACAGTGCCTGGTATGAAACAATCTATTTGCTGTCATTAATTAGCAGTATCGCTTAGAGAAGCAAGTATTTACACAATAATTGGACTCCCTATGTTGGGAGAGTTGTGGGAGTTTTTAGAGTTAAGAGCACAATTTATGAGTTTGGGTCCAAGATCAACAGTTATTTGAAATAGCGCTTCCATATCGGAGACAGGAAAGCAAAGAAAAACATTGGTTCTCCTGTTTTCATTCCAGGAGCATTTATCGCCTTTCTTCAGCACCATTTACATCCTATTTGAAAGAAAAATGTTGAGGAAATCAAAGGATTAGAGAGTTTCTTTCTTTTGTTCATTCCTCAAATATCCACAACAGATAGGCTTTCCTGACAACTGTATAGTGCACTGTGCCATAGTGCCCACCTAAATTTGTAGTATTTATTAGAAGTACAAAGGATTGGGAAACCTTTGGCTCAGCAGTTAAGTCACTTAGGATTCCTTTGTCCCGTGTCGGAAGTTCTAGTTCAGGTAACAGCTACATAGCTTCCAGTCCAGGTTCCTGCTAATGTGTGCTCTGGGAGGCAACAGATAACAGCTCAGTACTTGGATCCTTAACCACCCACATAGGAGACCCAGATGGAATTCAGGCTCCTGGTTTCAGCCTGGCCCAGCCTTGACTATTTCCTATCTAAGAATTTGGAATGTGAACCAGTAGATGGGAATTCTGTCTCCGTGTTTGCCCCCAAAATTAGAAAAAAAAAAAAATGCTTGGGGGAGCAGTATTTTATGTGAATATGTGAGGTAAAGACATACCACAGTCAAAACTTTTTCAAACCAGATGTCAATCATTAAGAATTGACCACTTCCAAGTATAATGGGGGGGGGGTGGTACTTTGTGTGGAGTTCCACAAAACTGTACAACCTGTTTGTGAGGTAATGGGCTCCTGGTTAAACAGATGTGAATTAGGAGTTGTTGAGTATTATTAACAATATATTGGGCCCAGAAGGAAAAAACAAATGAAAACAGAAGGGGATTGAGGTGTCTAGATAAGGTAACTGGACAAATTGCGCTAAGAGCAGAACAGGTTAAGTTTCTGAGGAATGATAGTGTGGTTTGTTTCAGATAGCCATGGCAGTATATAAAAAACTTTTGAAAGAACTGAGATGTGGGCCCGGCTTGGAAGCCTACTGGCTAAAGGCCTCGTTTTGCCCATATGAGCGCCGGCTCTAATTCCAGCAGCTCCACTTCCCATCCAGGAGCTCCCTGCTTGTGGCCCTGGGAAAGCAGTCAAGGACGGCCCAAAGCCTTGGGAACCCCCACCTGCATGGGAGGCTCCTGGCTCGTGGCTTCAGATTGGCTCAGTTCTGGCCATTGCAGCCACTTGGGGAGTGAATCATTGGCTGGAAGATCTTCCTCTCTGTCTCTCCTCCTCTCTGTACATCTGACTTTGTAATAAAAGTAAAATCTTAAAAACTAAGATGGAAGTGACTAGTGATAAGGTGGAATGTGCAGATCATTACCATAGTGAGCCTTCCTGAAGTGTTAGGATATATTGTCTTATATCACCACAGGATAGAGTTGCCATGATCCCTCTTCCATCTCCCCATCTAGTTGTTCATCTTAAATTATGTGAGTGTATTGGGTTTAAATGTTGGTCTTTCTGTGTTCACATCACACCATGCTTAGGTTTCCAAGTAAACCCAGCCCAAAGTACTTTGAGTTGAGTAACCACCTTAAGTCCGTTTAAGAGTCCTGAAAGTACAGCAAGGAGCAGGGCACTTTCCCCTTCCCTCTGTCACAGCAATGAAAACATTTATCTCACCCATCTCCTCCTACCCCAACCCTCTCCATCCTAGGTGAAAGTCCACATGCATCTGCAAACCCCCACACCTTTGTAATACATATTCAATTTGAATATCAATTCAAATTCAAATTTTAAATAAGTCATCAGCTTAGTTAACTAAATTAATGCCTTTCAACACGAGTAGTAAAGAACAGTTGTCCTGGCCTTCGGATTTTTTGATGGCTCCCTAGATCTACATGCAGCCAGACTAGACCACTCATCCCAGCTCTTGGGGGCTGGAAAGAGGCAAGTGGAGCAATCCTCTCTCCAGCAAGCCAAGGACCTTGGCCTACTGTGGAATGGGGCTGCACTTAAGAGCCAGGCTCCATCCTTACGGGCTCTGAGAAGAACAAGTTGTGTGTTCTGCCTCTAGCTAAAGAGGAAGAGGTGTAGCCAGGGAGCCCACACAACACAACCACGCTGGGCTGAGCCTGCCACAGTGTTTGAGGGGCATAAGCCAGTGGCCCCTCTCTCTTGACCCTAAGCTCCTGGCATTTTGCCAGGTGGAACTTGGCCCTAACAACCTCCCACTCAAGCACAGATAGTTTGCAAGAACATTCTAGACCAAAGAGTTTTGGATAGCTAGCACTGCCTCCCCTCCTCCTCTCTCCTGCACGCAGCTCTATAGCCTTTACCTGAAGAATTCATCGTCATTTCAGAGTAGACCTTAGGAAGCTTTTTGGTGGATATATCTTCCTGTCTAGTTAACCTTGAACTCATATTTTCATTATTTGTAGATTCGAAATGTGGAAACAAATCAGTGTCTTGATAACATGGCTAGAAAAGAAAATGAAAAAGTTGGAATTTTTAATTGTCACGGTATGGGAGGTAATCAGGTGAGTATCTTAGCAGATCTTTAATGGGTATACTTTTTTTTAATTTGCTCTTGCCTTGCATTTTTTTATCCTGTGACATGGTTGAGAGGATATGTTCTTACCATTTAAAAGGCCCCAAAAATATGTATCCTGAAGTTCCTGTTTTTTTTTTCTTTACCAGGTTATTGAGCATCTAGAACACTTAATTTCTTTTTACCGTTAAAGTTTTTTTGTTGCATGTTTGTTTGACAGGTTTTCTCTTATACTGCCAACAAAGAAATTAGAACAGATGACCTTTGCTTGGATGTTTCCAAACTTAATGGTCCAGTCACAATGCTCAAATGCCACCACCTAAAAGGCAACCAGCTCTGGGAATATGACCCAGTGGTAAGTCATCCAGCTACCTGTAGGAATGAAATTACAGGTTCTATGGGGACTTATTTACATACTTTATAACTAAAGGAATGAATCTTTTAGAATTTTTTCCCTTACTAGAAAGGCAGAGTTACAGACAGGCAGGAGGGAGATAGAGCTGTTCCCACATGACCACAATAGGCAGAGCTGGCTGGGTCTTCTAAGTGGGTGGCAGGGGTCCAAATATTTGGATTATCCTCTACTCCTTTCCCAAGTGCATTAGCAGGGAAATGGAGCAGTCAGGACTTGAACCAGCACTCATCTAGCATGTTCATAACATGGAATTCCACAACCCTAATCCCAAGGAAAGAACTTTTATAGTTTCAATATGGGTCAAACACTTTTGGTAATCTGTCAACCTTTAGAATATCAAATTAAACATTGAGGTAAAATACGAGCTTTAATTAGGTTACCGCACCAGGCCCAAACTTTTCTAATGGCTAAAGACCTCACCTTGCATGCACCAGGATCCCATATGGGCACCGAAACGAATCCTGGCAGCCCCACTTCCCATCCAGCTCCCTGCCTGTGGCCTGGGAAAGCAGCCAAGGGACGGTCCAGAGCCTTGGGACCCTGCATCCATGTGGGAGACCAAGAAGAGGCTCCAGGCTCCTGACTTCAGATTGGCTCAGCTCTGGCCATTGCAGCCACTTGGAGAGTGAATCATTGGACAGAATTTCTTTCTCTCTATATTGCACTTTGCAATAAAAATTTAAAAAAATTTTTTAAATCCTTGATAATCTTTTCTCTTAAAATATATAGTTAGTAAAGTTTTCTGGTTCTTGGTGAGTTTTCAGTGACATAGCAAAACTGTCCACATTTACTTTCCTTTGGAGCCTCTGCCTCAATTCACTATTAATTGTGCTTTAATAGAGGTATTCAACAGGTGCTAGTTCAGGAAAAGCACTTCTGAAACCTCCCCCCTTTCCTCATGTCTAGTCTTTCAGCTTGTGCTTCGGCTTTGTAGATCTGGAACCAACACCAACAGCTTCTGTGTTTCTGCCTCATTCCATTTCCACTTAGGAAGAGTTTTGCTTCTTGTTTCGCTTTCTACATGTGCATCTTACTTTTCTCCTGCTGTATGTCATAGTTAGTGGCCAGCTGGCACTCATGCCTCTGGGTGTCCTCCCATCCTGACTTCCATCTTGACCAGACACAGTATAGAAACAACTCCTTAATGCAAAGCCAGGAGCACCCCAGTTCCTTTTTCTTTACTTTCTCTGTAGCATCCACTCTTGCTAAGCAGATGGTATTTTCAAATGCATATACCCTTTGGATGTAGTTTGGTCTGGGTTCTTCACCTGGCTTCCTATTTGTTCCATTTGACTACTTGGCTTGCTCTGCTTCTGTCTCCCCACTGACTGGAAATACTGTCCAATTACAACTTTGCCTTCCTTTCTTCCCTGTACGTTATGGATATTGAATAGGTGGCTTACCTACCCTGGAGCAGTAAACTGTGTCTTTGATATGAGTTCATTTTCATGAATCTAGATAGCTGAAGAATGCATTTTTAGGACTGGGATGTGTTGAGAAAACTAGCTGTTCATCTACATTTTTCATTGTGCTTATTAACTCTTATTTGTAGCAATCCTGAACGTGGGCCTAATGAAGGAGGCTCTGCAGGGACTCAGATGCTTGGGAGTTGGAGTTCCTGTGCCTTGTTGTGTCTTACACAGACTAAGCAGCAGTTTGCATGCAGAACTGTGGCTGTCTGGCCTCTAGTTTCTGCTTAGGGTGCCTCTGGACATTGCCGAGATCCTGGGTTTTGCAATAAGTGTCATTTACTAAATATGTGCTCTGGATTAGACATCATTTTAAATAGATTAGGTCAGGATTTCATCACCAGACACCCTATGAGATAGGTATTTCTGTTCTCCTTTTGTAAATGAGGAAACTAGAAAGTGTTGAATAGGGTTTACGTTTTTCCTTAGGATGTCATAGTTGGATCAGATGGATCACATCTGGAATTCACTGTAGGAATATGATGGCAAAGCTTATTATCAACCAATAAACTGTACAGCATCTGCATGAAAAAGGAAAAACAACCATATCCACACTGACTTTGTCCCCAATTCTAGGGTGTATGTTAAAGAGTACTGTACTGAACCCAAACTCACTGTTGATACACCAGCATATCTTTTTGCAGGTTGCCACTTTTACCACAGCAGAGAAGGAAAAGAGATGACAAACAGCTATTAGGTTAGGTTTAAAACTCAAGAAGGTTCAGAAGTTGCATGAAAATAGTTCAGAGAAGAGAATCATATTAAAACATGAAAGAACTTGTTAGAGATGTTAATATTTAAAAGATAATGCCTAATGCATATTCTTACAGCTGCCTCAGAGAACTTGATGGGACCAGAGCACATTGTCAGAATAATTAGATTGAGAGTTAACAGATGTACTAACAACAGTTATCCTAAAAAACAGGACAGAAGCCAGTTCCTAAAGAAGTTCATAGGAAGATACTTGTATGTCTGCGTCCATCAGCTACTTAGTGTACTTTATATTATCTGTAATACTTAACTATGCAATGCTTAACTTTTTCATTTTTTAAATGAAAAATTCTAAATTATCCAGATTACAAATCCAGTCTTATTTACAGTTTTTGTCCTTCTGCACTATACCATTGACGTCATAAGGATAGCCTGGGTTTTCTGTAGAAATAAAAGCAAGGTGGTTTTTATAAATCTCAAGCATTCCCCTGTTCTTACTGCAGAAGAACTCAAGTTTCCAAAAATTTGAGCAACAGCCTCATGGAAACAATCTTAAAATAGCTCTTTGAAAATAGGTTGAGGATCCTAAATTAGGAACCACTAATCTGGTCCGTCTTTTTTTTCCCCCCTCCCCCATTACAGAATTGAATTACAGTGCTACAGAGCTGATGCCAGAATTAATACTTAGAATGTAGGTCATCTAACTGCAAAGATGAGGGTACCCCACTGAACCCCTTGACCTTTCTCCCTCTCCATTGCTCTAAGACAACTTTGATGTGTACATTTTTCTCACTTTTTTCTTATTTTCCAAAATCCATTGTTTCCACCAAATAACTTAATAATCCTCAAAAATGATTGGTTTTCATTTTGTCTCTTTCAGAAATTAACCCTACAGCATGTGAACAGTAATCAGTGCCTGGACAAAGCCACGGAAGAGGATAGCCAGGTGCCCAGCATTAGAGACTGCAGTGGAAGCCGGTCCCAGCAGTGGCTTCTTCGAAACGTCACGCTTCCAGAAATATTCTGAGACCAAATTTACAAGTAAAGAAAAAATAATGATTGACTGGGCTACCTCAGCATACATTTCTGCCACACTCTACGTAGCAAAAAAGGAAAAGTGCTTTCCTCCTCAGCAGGATGTAAGGTTTATCAGCCATTAAGACTCAGACTCTTCTAGCTTTTCACTAGCTGTGAACCAGCCTTCCTGCCCAAGGACGTGAGACTGTGCACACTGATGTTTACAAGATTGAACGTCTTTCATCAAGAATCATGGTAAATAATAGACAGTGGAACAATCAACAAAATGTGCTTTCTAGAGAGCTACACCTTTTATGGTTTGCTTGCACATCAGCAATTTCTACTGAACGTGCTGTCATAATGAAGAGATTTCCAAGATTTTTTTTCCTGATTAGAACTGGTTGCCAATATATTAAACATTGATATAAAAATAAATGAAAAAGAACTGGAACCAGATTCAGAATCATGAAAACATTTTTACAATTAAAGAAAACTATATTAAACAGGGTTTAAAGGAAATTAAAACAGAGCTATGAGAAGTACAATTTGTTATAATATAGTATCAAATTTCTATATAGATTTTATACCTCAGTGGGGAAAAAATAACGATTCCAATGACATTCATTTTGTTTTCATCTGTGATAGTCATGGATGCTTTTATTTTCCTTGGGGTGCTGAAAAAAAAAGCTCTTTTGAACATAGTTTTCTTTCTACAGTGTTTTTTTTTTTTCCTTTTTGGTTTGTGGGATGTTGGAATTGTAATTTTAATTGCCTTCTAAAATTGAGATTTAGCATAATGTCTAATCTCAACAAGTTTGAAATCCCAGTTGCTCTTGTGTCAACTGGCTTATCCACACAGATTTCCTACCACATTTTCAATTTCTTGATTGAGCTGATTATGCTTAATACCCAAGATCCATACTACTGTACTCCAGATGCATTTTCACAGCAATAAATCTTCAGTTGTTTATGATTCCACTTAACAAAAGGCCTACAGAAGCAAAATATTGTTTGGGTATTAGGAGATAATCTATTTGATGGGTTTTTTTGGAAAAACCTTTTCCACTCCATACCAGATGTACTTCATTGTAAAGTGCATATTTAGATTAAATTCTTGAATTGTAATGTTGATCTGCTTTTTTAATAAAATCTTCCTGAAAATGTTCAATTGGCATTTTCTTAATGAGTTAGCAAAAGAAGTGCAGCTGTTACTCCATATTACTAGTCCTGCATTTCTTCCCTAAATTCTATTTAGGTTTAATTGATTTCTGATTTTCAATACCACAAAATCACCTGAGTTAATTAAAAGCTAATTTTTTAATTTCATGAAATATCTCTTTGTGACTTTTTTCCTGACAATGTAGATGTAAGACAATTCATTGCTGAAACTACATATGTTTTTCTTCCCATTTGTAAGATTATATTTAATGGTTTTTGTTTCAAAGATTCTTCACTGCAGGCAGTGCTCTTTCTTGTGCCTAAGAATGTTTCTGAAAGTCATATCACTAATGATATTTGCCAAGTTGAGTGTACACAAACTTCCTTCTATTCTGTTCAAATTAGTCAACATCAAGCACAAATAGATGCTGTAGGGTAAGGTTCTAGGACAGAATGCAGAAACTGCCTAGTAACTTTGAAGTTAAACCGGTGCTGGGTGGGATATTTTCCTATTCCATGAGTTCTGTGTTCATTCTGTCTTTGGTAGGCCTAAGGATTGAATAAATCAGATGTCTAATCAATAAATTATTTTCATGCTCAATTTCAGGTTTTTGTACTCCAGCATATCTTACTCCTTATTGTAAGAAAGATCAACAGCAGTGTGATTTAAGGTTGTGTTGTTTTGTTTTGTTTTTAAGTGGGGAATACAAGTGACTTAATTCATGGGTACTTTTAGAACAGATAATCCCATTGCCTTTATTTTTCTAATTAAAGAATTCCTGAGTACTTTGAAAATATAAAATATTCCTAAATAGTTGTGCCTTATATTGGTTTTATGTGTAGTTAATATGAATCCCTGTTCATGAAAGCTATATGTAGATTAGGTAGCTACTGTGTTGTAAATCAAATTGGAGAGAATGAAAAAGTGAATAAAAAGATGGGATTAGTTATTAATGAAAAATTCATAAATGTTACAATTCAAAGTAACTTGAATCTCATCAGTATATTCACTCCCAGCCTGATCCGTGTGTGTGTGTGTGTGTGTGTGTGTGTGTGTGTGTGTGTGTGTGTGTGTGTGTGTGTGTGTGTGTGTGTGTGTGTGTGTTACTCTCCTCATTTTGCATTCTTAGAAATAGGGTTTTACTCAGTGTTCTACAGATTGGGAATAGCACATGGGTCATGTCCTCATCTCAGAACAGGTTCCTGTGGCATGCTCTTCATTTTCAAGTAAGTACACGAGGAGTACAATTAACTCTAGCTATATGTTCAAAAAAAATCAGAAGGTGGTATACCTGAGGTGATGACAAAGGCTGACTCTATAAAATTGGGAAACAAAGATCCGTGGCATTTCTTCCAATAAGACTAATATGTGAAACTCAGTTTTACAAGTTATATGCTGGCATCAAACATTGAGATTAAAACTTAACATTTATAATTGGGTCCAGTGCTGTGTCATATCGAGTTAAACCTTCATCTGCGTCACTTGCATCTCATGAGTGTTGGTTCAAGTTCCAGGTGCCCCACATCCAGTCAAGTTCCCTGTTAATGTGCCTAGGAAAGCAACAGCAGATGGCCCAAGTGCTTGGGCCCCTACACCCACATAGGAGATGCAGAAAAAGCTCCTGGCTTCAGACCAGTTAAGCTCCAGCTGTTGTGGCCATCTTGGGAGTGAACCAATGGATGGAAAATCTTTCTGCCTTTCAAGTAAATAAATAAATCTTAAATCTTTTTTTCTTCTATTTTAAATTTTACAATACAATTCCATAGGCTCTGGGATTTCCCTTACCCTCTCCTCAAGTTCCCTTCCCCAATATAATCATTTTTTTTTTAAAGACACCACTTTTGAAAAATATAATAGCATAAAGAAGTCAGGAATCTAGCAAGAAAGTTGTTTAAGACTTCTCCTGTGAAATAGTGAAAGTATAGAACACAATAGACATGCTGTGTTCATTAGTTCAAGGACAGAATAATGCTGTTGGCTGACCTATTAATTCAATGAAATTAAAATTCCTTGAAGCCATTTTGTAGAAATCAAATACATATAGAAGTGCAGCAGTTCCAGTCAGGGTAATGTTGAAGAAAAATAAAATTTAAAGACTGCATTTCACCAGTGTCAAGACTTGCTCTGAAACTGCAACAATTAGGAGTGTGGTATTACAACAAGTAGTTCAGTAGAATACAGCATCCTGAAATAGACCACATGTATGTGGTTCTTTACAATGAAAGTCGAGCAAGTTAGGAAAAGGAATTTTTTTTTTCTATTTGAAGTAGAATAACAGACTGAGGGGAAAAAATGAGTGATACTTCCTTCATTCCATATATAGCCATAATATAATCAAAATGGATTATAGGTCTATGAAGAGTGAAACAGCAAATCTTGGAGAAAATGTAGAATCTTAAGTGACCTTTAGGTATGCAAAGATATCTAAGACACAAGAACTGTTAACAAAAGTGATAAAGTATAAATTAGATACTTCTCAGCAAAGGTACTCTTAAAGTGGAAGAGCAAGCCATAGCCTAAGACAAAAAACTTAAAACCATTACACGGATAATCCTTGTTTTCGCAGATGAGTGATCTGGATACCTACTTCATAGGAGCTAGGTGAATATACATCTAGCCCAGGAAAGGCGCTCAGCATGACTCCTGAGGGAATGCAAAGCCACATGGAAACCCCTGCCTCGTGGGAATGTGCCACACCTGCGGAAGTGTACAGTGGAATAAACAGAATATCTAGGGAACAGCTTCTCAATTTTAGTTGAACATATGCATATTCTGTAATCTTGTTCCTGTAAGGTTCATACAAGAATAGTCCTAGAATTTTGATTTTAATAGTTCCAAACTAATTGGCAAATATCCATCAGCAAGTTAATAGATAATGGTAATGTTGATAGAGTAGCGATTGGTTTACTATTAAAGAATGATTGTTGATTCAAACAACAGTATTAATTACTGAAAAAGAAAATGTCAAACTTTACAGCAGGTAAGACTCATCTAGGGCAGTTATCTGAGAATGAGTGTAGACTGGAACAGGTTATGAAAGAGTCCCCTGGAATGATGGGACAGTTCCATGTCTTGATTTGGATAATGGTAATGTATGCAAACACACACACGTTTCTAACTTTACTGAGAAATATTTATTGAGCTAGTTACTTAGGATTTTATTTTACTCTGTACGCTTTAATAAACCAATAAACAAAATGGTGAACTTATTGATCCTGCTGGCATCAAGATTGTCTTAAAAAAAAAAAATACCCTGCAGCAAAGCAGAAGCGCTGAGCTCATATGAGAAGTATGAAAAACCCCTAGAGGGCCCGGCGTGATAGCGTAGTGGTTTAAGTCCTCGCCTTGCACATGCTGGAATCCCATATGGTTACCAGTTCTAATCCCGGCAGCCCTGCTTCCCATCCAGCTCCCTGCCTGTGGCCTGGGAAAGCAGTCGAGGACGGCCCAAAGCCTTGGGACCCTGCACCCTTGTGGGAGACCTGGAAGAGCTCCAGTCTCCTGGCTTCAGATCTGCGCAGTACCGGCCATTGTGGTCACTTGGGGAATGAACCATCAACGGAAGATCTTCCTCTCTGTCCTTTTCTCTGTATATCTGACTTTGCAGTAAAAATAAATAAATCTTTAAAAAAAAAAAAAAACTTAGACTTCTGAAAAACGATAAAGCTACTAGAACCACAGTAACGACCGTTAGATATAATGCTAGAGTTTCACAAATAGGAGTTCAGACCTTAGACCTGATCAGAGTGAGGGAACTCAGGATGTGCTTAGAATATTCAAAGGAGCCATAGAATTCATGCATAGTTGAACAGGCTCTCCTCCTGGGCCAGTGTTGTGGCCCTTTGTCACCTGTGATGTTGGCCTCAGTTGCCAATTCAAGTCCCAGCTGTTACATGTCTGGTTACATGTCAGGCACATTACCATGGAGCTAAATGGGGAGTGGAGCAGCCAGGACTAGAGCTGGCTTCTCAGGCTACAGGTTAGCTTGCTATACCACAGTGCCCCTTCAGAGACTAGGATGAGGTAATCAGAACTTATAATGAAGAGGAAATTTAATGCCTTCATGAAGCCTTCAGATTAAGAGAAATTAGATTTATAGCACTTACAGGGCCTAGCCACTATTGCAGCACAGGGTTAAGTCAGTTTGAATCATGGCTGTTCTACTTCCAGTCCAGCTTCCTACTGATGTGCCTGGGAAAATAGCATAGAATGAATCAGTTGTTTGGGTTCTTGCAACCCATTTGAGATCACAGCTCTGTTCCAGTCTCCCAGCTTCAGCCTGACCCAACCTGGGCTGTTACAGCTGTCTGAGGAATGAACTAACAGATGAAAAATCTTTCCTTTGTTGCTTTTTCAAATAAGTCATTGAAAGCTATTAGAATGAAACACAAACATCAATATAGGCTCCCATATCACAAAATCAGTAAATCAAAAAAGGAATCACTATGTGAATGCTAATGGAAAAAATCAGTTCTAACTATCTGCTGGCAATATGAGACTAGACCTTAGTAACCTTGAACAAAACAGGTTTATTGTTTTTTTTTTAAAAGATTTATTTTTATTATTTTTTTATTGGAAAGGCAGATATACAGAGAGGAGAGACAGAGAGGAAGATCTTCCGTCCGATGATTCACTCCCCAAGTGAGCGCAACGGCCGATACTATGCCGATCCGAAGCCAGGAGCCTCTTCTGGGTCTCCCACGCCAGTGCAGGGTCCCAAAGCTTTGGGCCGTCCTCGACTGCTTTCCCGGGCCACAGGCAGGGAGCTGGAAGGGAAGAGGGGCTGCCGGGATAGAACCGGCGCCCATATGGGATCCCGGGCGTGGAAGGTGAGGACCTTAACCACTGCGCCACCGCGCCGGGCCCAACAAAACAGGTTTTAAAGTGAAAGAAAAAGATGAGTTGTAGATGAGTTGACCCTCGCTAAGCGCTAGCTGGGTAAGACAAGAGCTGCTTCCCAGGGAGCATCCTCGCATGCCCAAGTGCTGTGGCTAGGGATGACGTAGAAACACCACAATATTAGACTGATGAGACTGCATCCTTATTTGTGAACAGACTGGAAGGAGTCAGAAGCACCTCCACATCTGCATACAAACTCTCCTCAGACTCGGAGAATGGGACTAAGTTTGCACAGAGTGGGAAGCTGTGAGGACCAAAGGGAAACATCTGAGAGAAAGAGCTAAATAGCAGTTGCCTAGCACCAGGAATGCAGATTGGACTTCAAATTCTTCAAAGTCAAATGGGCTTAATAAACACTTAAGATTGCCTTGGAACTCAAAAAGAGCATGTGCAAAAATAAAACCATTTCTAAGGTGGTGGGACTATTCCTAAATTCAAGCGCAAAATGGAAATAGATCTACCAAAATGTAAAACCAAAGTCTACAACATGAGCATTGTTCTCCAGTGATTTACTGTCCTTGTATACAGCTCAGTCATCCATTCTGCAAGACAGAGAATCAAGAGTCTCTGGAACATCCTTGAAGTGCAGCGAATTGAGCTACCAGTTCAAATTTGCCTAGTTAGGGTCCTGGCTCTGCTGCTTCCAATCCAGCTTCCTGGTAATGTACCTGGGGAAGCAGCAGCTGAAGGCCCAGCTGCT